GGTCTTGTTGCACCTCAACAGTATCATGTAGTTGGTTTTTCATCTTTGTTAACCTGATAAAGGAATAAAAGAGACATCTTGGCCAGGTGCTTTGGCTCACGCCTGTAATCCCAGCACTTTGGGAGGCTGAGGCAGGAGAATCGCTTGAACCTGGGAGGTGGAGGTTGTAGTAAGCCGAGATCGCACCACTGCACTCCAGCCTGGGCAACAAGAACAAAACTCCATCTCAAAAAAAAAAAAAAAGACAGAAGTCAACTGGCTTAAGATACAATGAACAGTAAAGCAAGTCATTTTCAGCTGTGTCCCATTCTTCCACAATAATACAATTCAGGTAAGACTGTCTTTAAAGGAATCAATTAGTGCCACACTCATTCCAGTAAACCCAGTCACATAATTATATGACATTTGACTTTTTGTTTTGTTTTTGAGACAGAGTCTTGCTCTGTTGCCCAGGCTGAAGTGCAGTGGCCTGATCTCGGCTCACTGCGACCTCCGCCTCCTAGATTCAAGCGATTCTTCTGCCTCAGCCTCCCGAGTAGCTAGGATTACAGGTGTGTGCCAGCACGCCCAGCTAATTTTTGTATTTTTAGTAGAGATGAGATTTCACCATGTTGACCAGGCTGGTCTCGAACTCCTGACCTCATGTGATCCAATGACTTTTGGCCTCCCCACGTGCTGGGATTACAGGTGTGACCCACCGCACCTGGCCCCAAAGCAGAAGTTTCTAAAGGGAATTACTTCTAAAACTTGGTCAGCGTCTTGAGAACTAACTAGTAATCTCATGTTGGCCTGCTCTCTGGGACTTTGCACAAAAGCATTCCTTGCAGACAAAATCAAGTCTCCACTCTCACATACAGGGGACTGCTGAGATAAAGTTTCTTTTGGAAACTTTGCCACCAGCTATACTCAAGATATTTATATCCCAGTTATCCTCTGTTACTATATATATTGGGTCCTTAATTGGTCTCTCATATTCTTATTCCCAGACTGCTTTTGCTTCCTCTACCCATCATTAAACTCCTAATTGTTTTCTTCTCCAAATATTTCCACTTTTCTCCTGGAATCTTACTCCACGGTTACAAAATTCCATTATATCCTACCCTCAGTCTCATTCTATTAACAAATCTCTGCTTCTGCCTTGAAAACACAACTTCTTATGTCCTCTCAGATAGATGCTGTTTACTTTTCAAAATTCTAATTACCTTGGAGTTCAGAAAATAGGAAATGCCTTGCTTACTCTCCAAAGCTACTTCTAGTGTGTTATTCCTCTACTCTTATATTAAAAATCTGTCTTCTTTAGATGCTCTGGACCATCAGCTATACTCCCTTCCCTCCTTGTCTTATCGTTAATATGTACTAGCTTCCTATTAGCATCTCATTCTTAGTCTTGTCCCTCTGTTCTATAAGTCCTGTAATTAAACACTTCTATATCCACTTGGCGATCTGATTCCACACCTTACCCAGTATTTCTCAAGGCATTATTCACCTACAACAGAATCATCAAGATGCTTCTTAAAATGCAGATGCTTGGGCACCAATCATAACTCTGAGTCAGAATATCTGGGGGCAAGGCTCAAGAACCAAATAAAAATACTAAGACTGTCAGACTGGTCATCAAAACAAAATTTAGTGTATCTTACTTATAAGAGATATCCCATAAATGTTAGGACACAGAAAGCACGAAAGTTGAAATATGTAAATAAGGTAAACCACACAAGCACTAACTAAAAATAAGTTGGCTTTAACTATTTTAATATCAGACAAAATAGTCTTCAAGGTACAATGTATTACCAGATATAGGGAGGGGCATATTAAAATAATAAAATGTTAAACCCTTTAGGAAGTTCAAACAATCATAAATTAGTACTCATCTAGTAATATAATCTCAAAGTATATAAATGAAAAATGGACAGAATTAAAATGAGGAACAGACGAATTCACACTTACAGTTGGAGATTATATTACTCATTCCTTAGCAAATGATAGAAAAAACAGACCAAAAAAAACCCCCACCCAATAGAGATGGAGAAGATTTAAAAAATGATTACCACATATTTAGAACACTGCACCCAACGATTACATAATATACTTTGTTTTCAAGAGAATATGAAATTTTTATCAAAATTGACCATAAAATTGGACATGGAGCAAATCTCAACAAACTTCAAAGGATGAAAGCATACAGCGTATATTCTCTAAGCACAATGAAAGGTAACTGAAATCAATCATTAAAAGATAATAAACATTGTCAAATGTTTGGAAATTAAGAAGCATATTTAGAGTTATTACAGGACTGCAAGGTTGGTTTAACATTCAAAAAAATTAATCAACATAATTTACCACAGTAATGGAATAAATCAGGAAAATCATGATTATCATGAAGAGGCGACTGGTAAATTCGACACCCATTCATGATACAAACTCTCATTGTAAGAGGAATAGAAGGACATTTCTTTAATCAAATATACCTATAAAAAACCCTCTAGCAAATACTTTACTAAATAGTGTTATACTGAAAATTTCCCATGAGATGGGAATGAAACAAAGATGCTTGTTGGTGCCACTTCTATTCAACATGGTACTGGAGTTTTAGCTAATTCAGTAAGACAAGCGGGAAAGAAAACCAAGACGAGGTGAACAACATGAATAGAATGCATGCTGGGTGGGGATAGGAAAAAGGAGTAGGGCAGAAGGCAGGGAAGGGGCAGAAAATTGGACTAAAGTTCAATTACAACTTCACATTGTAAAGCACTAGACCATAACTTCCCTCTTACTAAGCTTCTCTGATCCTTCCTACAAACCTGTAGACTCAATAAAGCACATATTATTGACCTCTGTTTTCCAGATGATGTAACTATGCCTCAAAGAGGTAAATTGATTAGTCTAAGGTCACTCTTTCAGAAGTGAAGGGCAATTGACTCAGGAGGTGAGGGTTTAAATCTAAGTTTCTTTTCAATATGTCATGCTCTTTCACAGAATGGGAGCTAGAAAAATCCAAAGGGAAAATTTGTTCAGAACTTACTATTGGGTCTCCCAAACCTAAATAAAGTTGCCACTGAATTTAGGAATATGGTTGGCCAAAATGACACAAAATAGGTCAGCTCCTACTTCAAACTTATAGAAATGCTATAAAAATATTTTGAGACAGAAAGACTAGACAGAGGAGAGACAGAGAAGACTAGCTCAAGAGAAAGTTAGGAGAAAGGAAGGAATATCCCCAAATGCTAGAAATGAAGAAAAAACTTAAAATCAGAGTGAGAAGTGGGAACTGACATAGATTCAGATATAGCTTCAGGGCTGGTGCCTGGAGTCTTAATGCCCATCCAGGAATAGCAGACCTGTTTTCCAGCGTTCAAGGCAAAAGTATATGTGGATGAGTGATGAAGACTAGACTGTAGTTGCCTTTTTGAAATCTGGACCTTTGATGAGCTGCCCTGTGAAAACACAGGTGGAAAAACATTGTCCACAGGCTCAGGGAAATGGCAAAAACTTTCAGTCAGGGGCCTCAGACAGAAGGTAGAGATAAGATAAATGGTCCACAAGAAATGGAAACTACAGGTCTGTGCTGCAATCAGATGCTGGGGGAATTTACATTACCTAGATTTACATTATCTGAGCTGAGAAATTGAAATCCTTAGGGTCTTGGCAATGACAGAAATGAAAAGGCACTGTATAGGGATACTTTCACAATATAGCATACAGCACTTCCAAAGGGAGAGGAAAAAAATCCTGTTGAAGATGTGATCATCTTAAAGAATTACAAGCCATACAAGGAGATACATTTCCATGAAGCAGAGTAGCATATATAGCAAGAAGCATAGCTACCTCTCCTCCAGAAAAAAATAATTATGTTAGAAATGATTAAAATAAAAAAACAGACACCATAATGAAGGATCAGGACATTTTGGAAAATTTTTACATTTTAAAAAGAACTAAAAGGAACATCTAGAAATTAAAAAGTATAGGTACTTGGGATGAAAAACAGTGTAGATATATTAAAAAGCAGATTAGATATAATTGAAGAGATTCTTAGTTAACTGGAAGGCAGATATGAGTACACCATCCAGAAGGCAGCAAGGAGAAATATTAACAGTTATGAAGAACAAAAATCTCATAGAAAGCCAAGAGGAAGGGATAGAAGAAATGAGGGAAGACAGATAATGACTTAAAATTCTGAAGAATAAAGACATGAGAACCATGACTACTTCTGAATAGGATGAATAAAAACGAACCTACACCTAGATACAGGTTAGCAAAACAACGAAATATCAAAGATTAAAAAAACACAAAAAATATTTTAAAAGCAACCAAAGAAGAAATTACCTTAAAAAGGAATAATAATTAGGCTGATGGAAGATTTCTAATCAGCAGCAATGTAAATCAGAGCTATGGAACAATAGTTTCAAAGAACAGAAGGAAAATAACTATCAATCTAGCTAACTACGTTGCCTTCCCTATGTTTCTTAACATAAAGGAGAGAGGTGTGCCAGCAGATGAGAGACTTGTCAGAACTAGCTGGCATTAGCAAGGACCAATGATATCTGGGAAGATATTTAATTTAATTAAAACTATACCTAATTCCTAAACACAAGATGGAACAAATGACCCAGACATGAAGCTCCAGGAGCTTTTGCCTTTGCATTATATTTCTAGCTGAAAGCTGGCCGTCTTAATAGCACAAGCTTAGACAGAATTATTTACAGAGGATGCTATGTGAACTCTAGATAAATAGCATAGTGATTAAAACTGAAGTCTGTGGCATCAAACTGTTCAAATCTTGACTTTGCCTTAGTTTCTGCACCTACACATCTCAGTTTTAAAAAGGTGAAATTAGAAGAGACATGTAAAGCAACTGGCATAGTACCTGGCACATAGTATGAATGTAACAAATTCTAGCTATTGCTATTAATCTTGACCATAGTACTGTAATTTGATCATGTAACCAGAAGCAGTTATCTTTAGTACAATTATTGAAAAACTAAAATATAAAAGACACATACTCTGACATCCACTGAGCAGCCCACAGTCCATGATGGATTTCCCAGTACTTGATTTTGGCATAGAAGATGGACTAATGAAGATTTCCCAACACCTGTAAGAGATACAAGAACTCTAGTCATGTAAGAGACGATGCTGAAATCTGTTTTGGAAAGAGTAAGACTAATACTACACAGGAATAATGTTAAGTAAAGCATAGTTGTTAGAATGCCATACCAACAATATAAGCTTCACTGAAAAAAGTGAAGATGGTAAAAGGCAGTGGTTCTCTCAAATTTAGTATCAAAATCACCCAGAGGGTGGGTTAAAACATGGAATGCTGGGCTCCACCCCCATACTTTCTGATTTAGAGGGTCTGTCTTGGGGACCAAGATTTCTAACAAGTTCCCAAGTGATACTGATACTGGTCCAGGGGTCTCACTTTGAGAACCACTGGTCTAGGGCAATTTCATATTAATGAATCCCTCTCCTTTTGAATGATTTAATCAATTTAGCCTATTTTAGAATTGCAGAAACTCAACAGATGTTAGAAGTAATCCTTCTCTCCTTCACACCAACACTGAGGTCCCCTCCATGGCATCCTGTTAGAGGGTCTTCGGTCTTCCAGACTGAGCTTGAGTACTGTCAGTGAGAGGGATTCACCATTTCACAATTCTAAATTTAGACACTCCAGTTCTCCCACATGGTGATTTAAAAAAAGCAGCCAATCACTTAGCCCAGACTTAGCTTTTGGAAAAAAGATCAACTCCCTCTTCTACATCATGTCCCTTTAAGTCACCATTTGATTTCTTGGGCTTAGGGAAACCTAGTTATTAATGCTAAGGATAGCATTCAGAGATTTGTATCAAGAGGAAAGGGAATGAGCTCTTCCTCTACATCCATGTGTGGAGTCACTCACGCATTAACAGCATTTTTGGGGTTCCATTATGACAAACATGGTTGGTATTTTTACAAATCACTAGTTTTATCAAAAATTTAGATCATCTCTTTGATCCTACTGTGTATGAACCTATTGTTTATGTTAATTTTTATTATTAAAGTTACATTTACAACCTGAGAAAGTATGTACAAAGAAGCCCAGGCACAGTGGCTCACATCTGTACTCCCAGTGCTTTGGGAGGCTGAGGCAGGAGGTCACTTGAGCCCGGGGTTTGCGACCAGCCTGGGCAACATAGCAAGACTGCATCTCTAACAAAAATAAATATTAAAGAAATTAGCCAGGCATGGTGGCCTGCGTCTGTAGTCCTAGTTACTCAGCAGGCTGAGCCAATGATCCCTTGAGCTCAGGAGTTGGAGGTTGCAGTGAGCTATGATCACACTGATGTACTCCAGCCTGGGTGACAGAGTGAGACCCTGTCTCTCTCTAAAAAAAAAAAAAAAAAAAAAAAAACACCTTAAGACTACTGTCCAACATGAAGGTTAATTTAATTCCACATGAAAAGTTTTCTTATGAGCAGGGTGGTTATTGGATTATAAACACAGTATACTTAAAAACAATAAAAAACATAAGCCTCTGCTTCCTAGCTTGTTCTATCTGGAATATCCTACCCATGCTCTCCTTTCCCTCCCTCCCACATTGGCCTGGTGGAATTTACCTTTGGAGACTCAGCATCATTCTAGTTATAAAGTATTTTCTGACCCCACACAGGGAGAACTAAGCATAACATCCCACTTATCCTCTGGCCTCCACTGTACCCTGTACATTTTTCTACAGAGCACTTAAAATACATTATCATAGTGTTTTTTTATAGTTTTATCAACTCTATTTAATTTTAAGTTCCTTGAGGGTTCTCATGCATCTTTTTATCTTCAGTACTTGATCAGAACTTTAATTAGAATTTATTGACTAAAAGTTTCCATATTATTCCAAAATCTTCATAAACATTTAAAGTATCTCCATAGTAGCTTCAAAGAGTAGACATAAAAATTTACTTAACCATTCTTCCATTAAGATATTTAGGGTGTTTTGAATTTTTGATATGCTAGTGAAAGGTTATTCCTGTTTAAACCTTTTGTTAAATTAAAATTATGTCCTTAGTATACCTTCCCAGAAGTAAACTCAGTACTTAAAAGGAACATTTGAAGTTCTAGATATGTATTGACAAATACTTCATGGGGTTATGCTGCCATCAGCCCATACACTTGAGCCTGCAGGTCTTGTTGCACCTCAACAGTATCATGTAGTTGGTTTTCATCTTTGTTAACCTGATAAGGAATAAAAGAGACATCTTGGCCAGGTGCTTGGCTCACGCCTGTAATCCCAGCACTTTGGGAGCTGAGGCAGGCAGATCATGAGGTCAGGAGCTCGAGATCAGCCTGACCAACTGGTGAAGCCCGTCTCTATAAAAATACAAAAATTAGCCGGCGTGGGGTGGCATCTGTAAGCCCAGCAACTTGGGAAGGCTGAGGCAGGAGAACTGCTTTAACCCAGGAGGTGGAGGCTGCAGTGAGCTGAGATCGGCCACTGCACTCCAGGCTGGGTGACAGAACAACACTCTGTCTCGGTGGGGGGGGCGGGGGGGAGTGACATCTTACTTTAGTCTGCATTTCTTTACTTTCTGATAAAGATCAAAGGTTATCATTATGATTATCCTGGCAAATCAGTTGTTTTTCCTCTCAAATTCTCTGTGGATCTGTTCTGTACGTTTATCTACCGGGTTTTAGTGTTATTAATTGATATGAGCTCTTTATCTATTAAATATATTAATCATTTTATGTATGTGTAATTGAATCAAACATTTTACCAGGCTTCCCTTCATTCTTTTAATTTTTTTACATAGAAACATTCAAGATTTTTAAACACTCAAAATTATATTTGTCATTGAGTTTACTGCATTGTATCTGATATCTGTAACTTTTAGGATATACCATTGATTCTGTATTTGTAAATAGGTTTGTTTATGTTCAAGGAATGTATCTAGCCACTTAATTGCTTGATGCAACACTTGAGGCCTAGTTTAGCTTAATTGTGTTAGGGTAAACATTTCTAGGCAGTAAAATCGGATAGCTCTCCATGAATTAACTGCTTTGGGTGATTAAGTATTAGCTAACACGGGATGAAACCCTAAACAGTAAGAACAGTTGAAGTGCTAGGGAATAATGGCTAATTTCATTTCTTTAAGAATTTTGGGAGCTTCTGACTCTATGTTTTCACCTTTAGAACTAAATTGGATCAAAAGAATGCACTTGACGTACTTGGGGGGAAAAAAGTCCCAATATAAATAAATGTCAGCTCCAAATACAGCTATTTGGTAACATGTTAAACTAGTCCCTAATCTCTGAAAGAAAGAGAAAACCAGATGGTAGTGAGACTTTCAGGGTTCTTCACCAAATTACCAAATATCTCAATAGGATAGAAAACAAATCTCCAAATATCAGCTCATTTCTTTCTTCTTTTTATTTTTATCTTTGAGATAGGGTCTCACTCTATTATCCAGACTAGAGTGTAGTGGCACGATCCTAGCTCACTGCAGCCTCAAATTTCCGGGCTCAACTGATTTTCTCACCTCAGCCTCCTGAGTAGCTGGGACTACAGGCGTGCACCACCACGCCTGGCTAACTCTCTGTATTGTTTTTGGTCGAGAGAGGGTCTTGCCATGTTGCCCAGGCTGGTCTTGAACTAAGCTCAAGCAATCCACTCGACTCAAACTCCCCAAGTGCTGGGATTATAGGCAAGAGCCACCTCGTCTGGCTAAGTCATTTCTTTATATATTTGTGAAACCCTCAAAATTTTATGAGGGAAATGGTCTTTATTTAAAAATAAACTTTCAGGTTTGAAACAAAGGCAGAGGAAGTGTAAAAAGTGTATTCTAACCTGTCAGACTGTGTACTATTAAATGACAGTTAAAAGGAGACTGACAAAATTGCCTTTTAAAAAGATAAAAAGACAATAACTAACTTTGCACATAAAGGTTAAAATTAGTGAATGTGTGACAACATCTGCACATAAAGGTTAACATTAGTGAATGTGTGACAATATCAATCACTTTCCTGGCCATCACAGCTGTGTCTTCTGCTTCACAACTAAACCATAAGGGTGGGGGGGTGGGGGTAGGGAAGCTTATCAATTGCCTGATTACTTTTCCACATTTAATGTAGCAGCTAATTCTACCCCGTTATATGATGCATTAATTCCACAGTTATAACCCCAGAACCTAATACAATGCCTGCTGGAAAGAAAATAAATTGACTAGTTGCAGCAGTTTGTAATATGAAGGGATTGTTACATACAACAGAAAATGGAATTATAGAGGACAGAAAACACTCACTTAACATATCGTGAAGAAGTCTGTTAGTTCTGGATTCTAAATTCTACTCAGTGATACTCTTGCTAAGTCCCTTTAGGCCACCATTACTTTCTTTATCTGTAAAACTGAGTGATTTTATTAAATTAACTTTGGCACCACTTCAAGCTACCTGATAGAAATGAAGTCGACATAAATTGTGATTATGTTCATTGAGTTTCAAAAGGCAACTTTCTTAGGGGAATATTAAATAATGCTCTCTGTAAAATATTTCGTCATGCAAATAATACTCAGGGCAATGTGAAAACAGTCTTAACCTATCTTTGCCGGCCACAATTTTATTTAGTTTCTGTTAAGCTAGTTTTCAAGCCTCTCCACCTCCAAGCATCTAGCACAATGTCTCTGCTCACAACACACGCTCTTAGGCCAACTCCAGAAGAGCACATCTATAAAATGCAAGTTCAGCATTTATTGAAGTTACTAAGGAGAGATGAACTGGGGATTATGGAAGAAAAGATAAGGGCAGTGAGGTGGGAGCTGGAAATCCAGAAGTCAGCTGTAGTTCTCAAATGTCCCAGGGGTCAAAATAATTTTTCTTTGCATCCATTGAGATAAAAAAAAAAAAGAATTTTAACACTAGGATTAAATTTGGCTCAGCGTTAAATCCTAGCTGCTTCAGAATAAAACTCTTACTTTAATTTCTCTATCGTACAGTCTAGGACATAATAGGTTTTCAATGAAGATCAAACGAGAACCAGGAAGTCAAGAAGCTCAGTTAAGAATAAAACAGGACCACCACCCAATATGTCACTGCGTATTTATAACTTAGCGTTTAAGTTTGTGGACTCTGCGTTCAAAAGGATTCTGCCACTCACATCTCTCTGCCTCACTACTCTCATCCGTAAAATGTGATCATAGGACTAATCTCAGAATTAAATGAGTTAATGTATGAGAAGCGCTTGCCAGTTCACGTTTGTCAGTGCACGTTTGACTTCCTTAATGAACAAAATCTCTTGAAGGCACGGTCCTACTAACTTCTGTACCCTTAACATAGAACTCCATACAATACTCAATGCCTGCCTTTTTTTTTTTTTTTTCAAATAAAATAACTGACAATACACTCTAGGCTGCAGTCGTCTGGGAGACTGATGTGGAAAGCCGCGAAGGAAAAAGACCCGGGCTCCGCGACCCCCACCCGCGCGACGCCGCCGCCGCCGCGTCGTCACACGGAGCAAAGTCCCCTGGGAAGTGTAGTCTTCAAGACTTCGGAGGGACTTCAGCCACGGGCCGAAGAGCCAGGAAGTTGAGGGAAGGAAGGTAAGGGGAGGGTTACTGGGTAACTCAAAAGTGTCTGGAGCCCCAGAGGTGGGGTAAGACGCTCACCTGAGTCTCCCAACACCAGTACCTTCACCCGATCCAGGGACGCCATCTTGCCACTGCCTTCCTTGGGTTAACGCCTGTTCCGGGATTGTAAGCCAATCAGAGTTGGGCATGGAGGGCAGAGCTTTTAATTTCATTGGCCGCTCGGAGCGTGACCGTCTGAATCGAAGGCTTCACTGAGCTGATTGGCTGGTCTGGTAGCGGGGTGTTTCCCCAGCTGGTCGCAGGAATAGTGCGTTTTCATTGTCGCGTAAGAGGCGTGGCTCATTTAAGCCGGTAGTTGAAGAGCTGAGGGCAGCTGTAGTGGGAGTGTTCCAGGATTCGCTTTGGTAAACCTTGTTCCCTGTTCCTTGTTCGGAGTTCCCTGGCCGGGCATTGCATTTCATGATTTCTTCTTCCTTCCGCTCCCTCTTAACTATCCTCCCCTATTGAATTACCCTCTTGCCTTGGTCCTCTTGGTTCTCCAAAGAACCATTGACCCCGGAACGGCCCGTGTGGGACCTCGGGTAGGGCGGGCTTGGGTGCGCCGAGTGTGGCCCTAGACCCTACTGGGAGAGTCCGAGGGAGTTTGGGGTCTCGGGGTCTCGCAGTGGGGAGGAGTTCATATCACCGAACGCGTCTCGTGGAGGGCAGCTGGGTCCGGAGGTTTCGCAGTAGTTTGCCGCTATGTGTTCAGTGAAGGCGTGGAAAGTGCCATGAAATGTCGTACCAGAACACCGCAGTTAGATGTGTGGAATCCCAGGTTGTTCTAGAACTGGAGTAGTGGTGTACTGAAGTAATCTAACTGGACTCTTCGCATCCAGCTTTTTTCTCCACTCTGCAGTCAGCGCACACTTTTAACATCGTGAATTTGATCCACTCACCTCCAGCTTAAAACTGTTTTAAATTTAAGAAGAGAGTGCCCAATAGCCTGTCCAATTCTACCGTGGAAGCAAGAGTGGAGGAAGTGAAGCGGGGGGAAGCTGGCAAAATGAGCCATGTTGGAACAACACGTGTCTAGGACACATATGGAAAGTTTTATGGAAGTACTTGTCTGGCTGTGCAGATACTGGAAATTAATTGGTGAACAAAATGAAGTCTGGTCTTAGAGATAGACATGGAGAAAGTACAAGAAGGGAGAAAAAGCCATGGAACATGTGAGAGGGGATGATTGTACGCTACCTAATGGGGAGTCTGGGAAGGCCTCTATGAGGAAACGTCATTTGAGACTTGAAGGATGATTAGGAGAAGGGGGTTGGCTTAGTTGTAGGGGCAGAAGGAACAGCATGTGCAAAGCTCTGGTAAGCACGGAAAGCACATGTGGCTTATGGAATTGAGAATATGCTAGTGTGGCTGGATATGAGGCTGACAGAGTAGACAGAGGGCAGAGGGTGCATTCTTTTCAACTTTTTGTTTCTCTAGCTCCGTGCCTGGTGCACAATAGTCCTTAAATGTTTATATGATTAAAATACACGTGTGTTGACTGGGGTAGGGAGGTGAGGCTGGGATATGACTCATGGACTATGAAGATCAAAGGAAGAAACAAAGGTCCTAGGAGGTACCACACTCAGAAGTCTCCAGAGACCAGCCATACTCCTTCCCTAATAATGCCAGCTGCTATTCGTCTTCAGCTTATTGTTTCCATGTGGGACCATGGGCTCACTTTTTCCTCAGATATTTCCAATTTTTCAGGAGGAGCTGGAAGTTGAAATTTATGTGAACTCTTACAATTTTTAAATGTTGACAACTAATTCAGAAAATTTTTGAAACATTTCTTTGGGTGAAACAATGCGTGAGGGGGCTGCCAGTTTGAGAATTCTTACCTAAGACCTCTAGAGATTGAGTAAGGAGATTCAGTGTGAGTGGGAAGTGGTGGAGGAGAGAAGTTAGTGGTCAGGAAGGAGGATTTTAGAATGCACAGATTTTGAACAAGGTGGCACAGCTTCATTTCATTCCTAAGCTCTAATTTCATTTGTTCAGCTACCTGCTGGGCATATTCAGAGGAATATCCTATGGTATTTCCTCAGAGACACTTCTAAAAATGATTTCCTCATTTCTTCCATATCTGCTCCTCTTCAAGTGTCACCTATTTCTCATGGCAGTACTTTTCCTAGCTACACTGGCTCAAAACAGAGCTATTTAAGATTTTTCCTACTCTCATATTCTGTATCCAATATATTTTGTTGGGTCCTTATTATTTTTTTTTCTGTAATAACTTTCATTCATTCTGTTCTCTTCTTGCAATTTTTTGCCTTCTTCCTTAGTTTGATTTTATACCCCCAATACTTCCACATTGCCTCCACCTTCACCCATTTGAGTCCATTCTTCATATTGGTATAAGAGTTGTTTTTCTAAATAGGGGATTTATTATGAATGCCAGTACTTAATTGAACTCTTATGCCAGCCCTGAAAGCAGAACACTTTGCATTAATTATCTCACTGAGTTCATACATTAACTGTGTGAGGAGGGGACCGTTAATCACTTTTTTTTTTTTTTGAGGGTCATGTCCTGTCACCTAGGCTAGAGTGCAGTGGCTCAATCATGGCTCATTGCAGCCTTGACCTCCTGGCTCAGTTGATCCACCTCAGCTGGTACTACAGGTGCACGGCACCATACCTGGCTAAGTTTTAAAATTTTTATAGAGGTGGGGTCTTACTGTGTTTCCTAGGCTGGTCTTCAACTTCTGGACTCTAGCAGTCCCCCCATCTCGGCCTCCCAAGGTGTTACAATTACAGGTATTAGCCACTGCACCTGGCCTAATCACTTTTTATATATAGAGAAACTGAGTCTGAGAATTTTCTGGGGTCAGGGGGGCTAAGAAATACTGGAACTGGGATTTAAACCCCAAAACTGTTGGATTGTAAAGTCTTCACATCACTCCCTGACTTTAGTCTTCACAGCTCCCTAGGGTGTTTTAGGCAAAGGAAACAGGCTGAGCGATAAGTGGCACAGGGACCTCTCCATGCAGGATGAGCATTGGCAGGATATATAGTAGGTACTTTTGCTGTATAGTAGAGCCACCTAAAGAGCTTTAAAAATTTGTGTGATGCCAAATCTGGCCGCCCCGAACCACCTGAGACAAAACCTTTAGGAATGGGGCCCATGGTCAGTATTCTTAAAACGTTCCCTAGATGATTCTGCTTTAAAACCAGGCTTGAGAACTATTAGTCTGGGACATGGCATGTATGGAGCAGGGAAGGAGAATACAATAGTAGGAAATAATCCTGGAAACAGGTTATGTTGACATTTTTTTGCTGTTCTTTGTTGAATGTTTCAGAAGCCATATGTTGTGTTCTGACAACCGTTGAGGATGTAAAACAACAAAAAACCAAAACTGGGTTCAAGTACAATGTACAGACCAAACTGAGAAGGAAAGCAAAGTGTGTCCAGTAGTATGCTGTGGTACTACTTTGGTGTCTAGCCCAGGCACTTGCCGGGCATCCTTAAGCCCTGGGGTAGCGGGAAGGCTCTAGGTTCACAGATTTGGATCTAGGTGCTACTTTGTTATATCTTATAATATATAGTCATACCTGAGTATTTATAACCTAAAGTACATGTTTTCTTTTGACTGCCTTTTCCTTTATTACACGAAAGGCCTTATATTTTGCCCCCAAAATATGTGCATAGATTGGTTATAGATTGGTGTGTAGAGTTTCCTTATAGTATGGTACTATGGATATCAAAACATTTCTTATAAAAAGAGTATTAAGTCTGTTGGGGTTGATAACCATTGATTTCAAATAAAAAGGTCAGTTGAAACTAGTATTAATAACAGAATATGATTCTCCATGAAATAGTTCAGTGGGATGTCTGTTAAAAATTATCCTGTGGAGCCTGGCCAAGATGGTGAAACCCTGTCTCTACTAAAAATTCAAAAATTAGACAGGTGTGGTGGTACACGCCTATAGTCCCAACAACTCAGGAGGCTGAGGCAGGAGGATCGCTTGAACCCGCGAGGCAGAAGTTGTAGTGAGCTGAGCTCGCGCCACTGCACTCCAGCCTAGGTGACAGACTGAGACCCTGTCTCCAAAAAAAAAAAAAAAAAAAAAAAAATCCTGTGCTGGGTGTAGTGGCTCACATCTATAATCCCAGCACTTTAGGAAGCCCCCAACATGGGTGGATCCCTTGAGCTCAGAAGTTCGAGACCAGCCTGGGCAAAATGGTGAAACCCTGTCCCTACAAAAAATACAAAAATTAGTCAGTCATGGTGGTGTCCACCTGTAGTCTCAGCTACCAGGGAGTTTGAGGTGGGAGGATTGCTTGAGCCCCGGAGGTTGAGACTGCATTGAGCCAAGTCACACCACTGAACTCTAGTCTGGGCAACAGGGCACCTGTCTCTATTAAAAGAAAAAAAAAAAATTGCCTGTGGGCTAGGGAAATTTAACTTGATTTAATCTATGTGGATAGTCTAGCCATTTTTAGTTTGGAACATATTAAGTTGATATGGAAGCTGTCCTTCCTAAGCACTTTAATTACATTCTTATTAATCACCACAACTCCATTGAGGTAGTTGATACTATCCTTATATCTTAGAGAGTAAAATGTGGCTTGAAATTGTTTAAGGGATTTGCTCAGGATTACATAGTTACCAAAACACAGGCTGGTACTCTGAATTTCAAAGCCCAGGTTTTTTTTTTTGTTTTTTGTTTTTTTTGAGACTGAGTTTCGCTGTTGTTGCCCAGGCTGGAGTGCAGTGGCGCAATCTTGGCTCACCGCAACCTCCACCTCCAGAAGCCCAGGTTTTTAAATTAAACCACATGCCAATATGGGCTTTGAGAAGACAGCTTTCTGTGTCATGGTATGGAAATGAGATACACTTAGTTTCTGCTTTGTTAAGGGATTCAGTATTTAAGAATATTTTGGGCTGCTCTCCCTCTCTCATTTTCTACCTTTTTAAGGACTGGATGGTCTTTCCTTGATTATCAGATTTAATTTTTCAAGGTTAGTAAAACTATCTGGATCTAAGTATTACTTTCTTTCAGTTTTACACCAGTTAATGATTTTGTCAAACACCCCAGGTGGTGATTACTTATGTGTTTATTGGTTTGTTGTGATATTATTGTGAAAGCATGAGTATGTAAAACATCCTAGAATCTTGGTAGAAAAA